TAGTTTCATTCTTCAAATTCTAAATAATCTCACAAAAACATCAATGACAGATCAATTCACCCGAAAGTATAAAACCTTACTTAAATATATTGTGATTCGTCATGGAATAAACAAGAAAGATTCTATCTACTCTCATTGTGCATAATTTTTAAATCATTTTTTTTTAAATGTATATATTGAAAATTTATTAACTTATATTTTTAATTTATATCCCTCTTTTGTGTGAACTAATGAAATAGAATTTTACTTAGTTCTCTTGATATAATTTCCTCCATAATTGTTTTCTTGAATTGGAATTTAATATAACCTTCGAAAAGCCTGAATGACAAAATATTGGTTCTAGAGCAAAACTGTTCTATTTGCAACTAGTTATGCTAATTTAATATACATTATTATAACAACAACCATATAAATATAATTTTGACATCATAAAATAGTTTTTACCAACTATTTCTCTTGAAGATGACCTTACAAAGTTAGAATTGCTAATTGTGGGAAAATTTTTTATACCTTTTGAATAAATAGATTATCTCAATAATGTTATTCTAAATCCCTTATAAATCCACTGTAAAAAAACCTTGATCATATCAAAACTGACATCTTATAGGGTGGAAAAAAGATGAAATCATAAAATGTATGTTTTTTTTCAGGCTATATGTAAAATGACGGGCAGCAAAATACCGCACGAATTCAATTCACCAGAGGACATGACAGAGAAAATCTTTAAAATCCTGGATAAAAATTCAGACAATCGTATAAGTCAACAAGAGTTTATAGAGGGAGCGGATAAGGTACAGATCCTTGTGGATATTCTGCAGTGTAATCCTGATTCGTGAAGAAAATTGAATGAATATATCTTGATCTAGATGATGTTCTTGCTGACTTGAATTTGATGTAATCAGAGTGGTCTACCAAATAAATTATACAATAAAGCATATTCATAATATTATACACTTAAAACAATTTATTTGAGGTCAAGGTACAGTAAAATGCCTACAACGTAATGATTTTAATACAAATGTAAGAACTTTTTTTGGTAGATTTAATGTGCTTTCTATGCAAATGTGCATCTATTTTCAAAACATTAATTCATTTATAATTCAGAAAATGAAAGATATAAACGCATTGTTTCTTCTTTTTTTCCGTTGAAGTTCAAAGAGCCAAAGTTGTATGCAAAAATTTAACTAAAAATTGTGACATAACCCAGTTATACTACCTTGATCTTATTTACATCCTTTGAATAACTTTGGGTTTGAACACATAATTATAACAATTATACTTTTAAAAGGAATAAAAATAATCACCTTAAATAATCAAGTCGACTTACCGTGCAACATTGTATGTATTGCACAAGTTGGACGTGATTGAGGCTATTACGATTTAAAGTCGTTTTATCATGATGTACTATACTGTAGTTTTTGAACGGAGTTCTTTCTGCCTCGTTTTCATTTTGTCTTTTTTATCGTATCAGATCAAATGTTTCCATTTAGTTTTTGGGTTTCATATAACAGAGCGGATGTAAATGTTCTTGTTCGAAGGAATACAAAAACATACAAGACATAAAAGACCTGAAAGAAGAAATACACAAATAAGTACTATTAAACATATTGCAACGACGAATAGACTACCGTAGTCTACAATTTTGTATATCATTTAAAAAAAATTAAGGACTATATATCCTTCATGCAAAGCTCTAATTTCTAGACCAAATTTGGGTATATTTTAGGCTATTTTTGGTTTTATCATCTCTTCAATGTTTTTATAATGTTTTTGATTTTTAAATACGTTGGCATTGAGCATCATCGAACAGACATTAAGTATCGAATTGCGTATCTGGTGCTGTAAACTACCGTTACTAAAAATATTAGATATCTTTCATATGACCAAGAATGTCTTGTATGAACACATTTTATAATCAAATAAACAAGGAAATATGCATCGCCTGTATGTAATTTTGATAGTAAAATGCTAATGTTAACTATAAAATGGCAATACTTTCATTTGTAAACTACGCAAAACATCCAAAGTCAATGAACTATGACTGAAGGTTCAGGGTTAAAAATCTCCATTGAATTGAGACATGCCAATTCTGAAACAACGGCATACTAAATATGATTGACATATCATAATGGGTTCCCCTTAAGCTGACCTAATCACAATATGTAAACTATGCAAAATTCCAAAGTCAATAAAAGAGGCACGAAAGATACAAAAGGGACATTCAAACTCATAAGTTGAAACTAACTGACAACGCCATGGCAAAAAAAGAAACAGACCAAAAGACAAACAACTATACACAAAACACAACATTGAAAACAAAAGACTGAGCAACACGAACCCCACCAAAACCAAATAAAACCTGCTCCACATATGGCACCCGTCGTGTTGCTCAGAATCTATAGATTTTTGATTGCTGATTAAAAATTGATGTTAATAATTTAGAAAGAGGTTTCGTGGTGCACTTGGAAGACCAAGCAATATAACGTTGTTTGTAAGGAAACTTATATAATTTAAGTATCCAATACAGTGAAGGAAGATCTAGTCCTTCATTTTTGGTTGAAATTCCAAAAGAACAAAGAACAGACCTATGATTATCCAGGATTTCCTCGTGACTAAGTGTCGTGGGGTATATGTTGAGTTTCCAAGTGAATTGGCAAAACCTAATTCATTTATCCTGCAGTTTATGTAACGTGATTTACACACAAACACGATGTTGTTGGGGCTTTATCAGCGTGGACAGCAACAAATTTGTCATGGAGGTAGGACAGGTGTTTTGCAGCATTTAGGTCTTTCAAGATTGATGTATGTAGCATGTGTATCAATAAACCACGACTTAAGGGGGATATATCCTCTATGGAAATGAGATGTGGTATACTAATACAACTACTAGTACATTCCAAATATCACTGACTTAATAGTGATTCCCCTCAAATGGCAGAATCAAAAACTTTAACATTTAAACTAAGCAAAAGTTTTAATGTCAATAGACCATAACTTGTGTGTTGGGGCCCAATAATTGTTATGGAAATGAGATGTGCCAATGTTAATACAACTGCACTCAAAAATCATTGACTTATCATTAGTGGTTTCCCCTTAAGCTGACCTAATCACAATATGTAAACTATGCAAAATTCCAAAGTCAATAAAAGAGGCACGAAAGATACAAAAGGGACATTCAAACTCATAAGTTGAAACTAACTGACAACGCCATGGCAAAAAAAGAAACAGACCAAAAGACAAACAACTATACACAAAACACAACATTGAAAACAAAAGACTGAGCAACACGAACCCCACCAAAACCAAATAAAACCTGCTCCACATATGGCACCCGTCGTGTTGCTCAGAATCTATAGATTTTTGATTGCTGATTAAAAATTGATGTTAATAATTTAGAAAGAGGTTTCGTGGTGCACTTGGAAGACCAAGCAATATAACGTTGTTTGTAAGGAAACTTATATAATTTAAGTATCCAATACAGTGAAGGAAGATCTAGTCCTTCATTTTTGGTTGAAATTCCAAAAGAACAAAGAACAGACCTATGATTATCCAGGATTTCCTCGTGACTAAGTGTCGTGGGGTATATGTTGAGTTTCCAAGTGAATTGGCAAAACCTAATTCATTTATCCTGCAGTTTATGTAACGTGATTTACACACAAACACGATGTTGTTGGGGCTTTATCAGCGTGGACAGCAACAAATTTGTCATGGAGGTAGGACAGGTGTTTTGCAGCATTTAGGTCTTTCAAGATTGATGTATGTAGCATGTGTATCAATAAACCACGACTTAAGGGGGATATATCCTCTATGGAAATGAGATGTGGTATACTAATACAACTACTAGTACATTCCAAATATCACTGACTTAATAGTGATTCCCCTCAAATGGCAGAATCAAAAACTTTAACATTTAAACTAAGCAAAAGTTTTAATGTCAATAGACCATAACTTGTGTGTTGGGGCCCAATAATTGTTATGGAAATGAGATGTGCCAATGTTAATACAACTGCACTCAAAAATCATTGACTTATCATTAGTGGTTTCCCTTAAACTGACCTATTACAAACTAAAACATATTGTTGACGCCTTCGTCGCCTCAGCCGGAAAAAGCTTGCAATAAAATCGCATTTGCGACTTTGTCGAGGCGCGACACAAATCGGGTAAGCGAACACTAATAAACATCGATCGACCAAAGGGAGATAACATAGAGAATTAAGTATTCCTAATCGTAATTACTAGTTCTTTGTGAAAAACAAAAAAAATTTCTGGGCTTCGTATATAATAGTATATGTAATTCGTTTCAAATATATATAATATATATATATATATATATACAGTTGATAACATATCCGACTTTTATTGATTGATAGTTGCTGCTTACAAGGGGTTTTAAGTCTTCTATCCAACGCTTTTCCTACTTTGTATTTGATTTGGATTTGATTCGGACGAGTAATATGTAGACGAAACGCGCTTCTGGTGTACCAAGTTATAAGCCTCGTATATTTGACGAGTCTTTGCTACCGTCACTCTGATTAATTTGATGGTTGTAAAATGAAATATGAAGAGTGTCAACTATTGGTTCTTTTTCTTTATCTTAAATAAACTTATGTTAAATTTACATAATGAGTTTCAACGGTTTTATTTACAACGATGATATTAAAAGATGGAACACATATTTCCCCTGACATCTTTGCACATGGGAATTGAAAGTAAAGAGATGTACGACTCAGAAAATGAACATGGCTGCTAACAATTGTTATATAAAGTAGAAATCCGTAAACCTGAACAGAATGCAGCGAAGGGATGTACAATCATACAGATAGATAAAGCGTCATGTGATTTAAAATTGATAAGAAGTCAGCAAAATATTCAGCCAAACTTTCATATTATTACATTGTACAAATCATAAAAATATTATGTCCTTAGAAGGAAACGGAAAAAGTCACATTTATAACTACAATATCTCTGAAAGTTTTTAAATTCTTTTCAATATTGTTTGATAAGTTGGCACTGGTATTCGTATTTTTTTCTCAGTAAACCATTGTTGCAAGATGACAAAAGAATTCTCGGAAACTTTTTCAACAAACCAATATTTGTGGAGAAGATTGTCATGCTGGTTTAAAGTGGACTTCACAACATTTGTATACATCTAAATTGATTAATTTATAAATTCGAGCTAGCTGTTTCTACTACCACAAAATTCACACACATAATCGTACTAATTATTTTACATTTAAATCTCTTTACAGGCGACATTTTAGTCTCATATGTGAATGTATATGGACTTGGAAAAATTTATATCTAGCAACCAAAATTTAATTCTAAAAATGGGAAACAAATCATCGAAAAAACAAATAACACCGAAAACAATGGAAGAACTTCGGAGTCATATTGATGTTGAGTTTACTTCAAAAGAGATCCAAGACTGGTATAAGGACTTTAGAAAAGACCTCCGGCATGGGGAGACAGAACTCAACAAAACTGCATTCATAAAAGTATACAACAGTTTGTTTTCTGGTGATGCCTCTGAATTCGCAGAGCAAGTTTTTAGGACGTTTGATCGTGACGGAAATCACTCTGTGGATTTTAAAGAATTCATTTTAGGACTTTGTTTATCGGGAAGTGAAAATGCAGAGAAAAAATTAAAGTGGGCCTTCAATATGTACGACATTGATCAAAATGGTTATATAACAAAAGAGGAGATGACCCACATTTTTAAGGTAAGATATGACAAGCAACGAAAAGAATATAGAAACATTGAATACGTTTTTATGAGGATATGGGTTGTATGTTAAACAATTGTGAATAATCATGCATTTAAATGCATATTTTTTATAAGAATATACGTTCTTCTGGTATTTGTTTGAGTCGAACTACGGGTATCTCAAAATATATGTTTGGTCCGGCTGACGTCGAGATAACGAGAGTTGACTGTAGTAATATATATGTAAAACGTATTCCTAATACCCCTATCCTCCGCAATTCGTATTAGGCACACACAAAGCTATAAATTATAACCAAAATAGATTTGAAATAAAAATGAAAACAAAACTCTATAAATTGCATGCGTCCGGAGCTCTTTTCTGGATTTACCTTCATCAGGAATGCTCAAAGCCGGATATTGAAAGCCAAGGATGTATAAGATCCGAAACAGTTGAAAAGCTATCTGACCAAAAGGACATCAAAAAAATAAATAGCCAAATCAATCTACGGTCAACTTTAAACTGCTTACCCTTCCGGAGCACCTGAGATCACCCCCGGTTTTTGGTGGGGTTCGTGTTGCTCAGTCTTTAGTTTTCTATGTTGTGTATTGTGTACTATTGTTTGCTTGTTGGTCTTTTTCTTTCTTAGTCATGACGTTGTTAGTTTTTTCGACTTATGAGTTTGAATGTCCCTTTGGTATCTTTCGCCTCTCTTTTATAATTTCGAAATTTATTATCGGACAATTTCAGAAAGGTTTGTTATAAATCATGTCAGAACCGATAAAACCTAGTTCACAAATATTTTGTTATTCTGTAGTTAGTCACCACTTCGGTGTTATCATGTATATTTATTATATAGTCATTTTTATAAATTTACTGTTTGCAAAAGTATGAATTATTCTAAATACTACGGATTTTCTTATCCCAGACATATAACCTTAGCCGTATTTGGCACAACTTTTTGGAACTTTTGATCCTCAATGCTCTTCAACTTTGTACTTGTTTTGGCTTTCGAACTTTTTTGATCTGAGCGTCACTGGTTAGTCTTGTGTGGACGAAACGCGCGTCTTGCGTATTAGATTTTAAACTTGATACCTTTGTTATCTATTATTCGTATGTTTCTCTGTCCTATATGTTCTCCCATTTATTTGTATTGTAGTCCTGTCATGTAATGTTGTCATTTTAATGTTATATTTAACATTGCCATAAAAGCGGGAGGTTTGGCTAGCCACAAAACCAGGTTCAACCCACCATTTTTTTCTTAAAATGTCCTGTACCAAGTCAGGAAAATGGCCATTGTTATATTATAGTTCGTTTTTGTGTGTGTGTTACATTTTAATGTTGTGTTTCTGTTGTGTCGTAGTTCTCCTCTTATATTTAATGTGTTTCCCTCAGTTTTAGTTTGTAACCCGGATTTGATTTTTTTTCAATCGAATTATGAATTTCGAACAGCGGTATACTACTGTTGCCTTTATTTGTTTCACCATTAAACATCTAAAATAGATTACATCACCTCTCATTATATTATTTTTTCGTTTGGAATTTAATGTAAATATAAAGCAGTAGAAATTCAAAACGCGTTTATCCACTTTGCAACTCACTCAGGCAAAGTTCACCTTAGTTTAATGTGGTAATTATTAGTAGGGCCGTTTGATCATATAACTCATCAGGTACTAGTATTCAAGTATTCATACATCTTCGGCTTTCAAACTTTTAGGTATTAGCCTTCCTGACGAAGGTAAAACGTTTCGGGCGCACCAAATTTAGAAAGTGTTAATTTCATTTGAATATGCAAACTAAGATAAAAAAAAAAAAAAAAAACACCAAAAGACAAAGCTAGACTATGTGCGTCGACAGGATAAACGTATGATATCGATGCATCACTCGTCATAATCCTGACTCAGTCAAAAAGGCTGAGAGATATTAGTGATAATGAATCTGATACAATCGTTGAAATCCGGTAAGTCAAAGTGATAAATATAGGATCTAGGACTATAAGTGCATGTTCTTTTGTCCACTGTCGGAGCAGTGTTGTGGAATTAGGGTTAAAGAGAACTTTTGTCGGCTGTTTAGCATCCTAATCGGATATTTCGTCTGAAAATAACTTAACGAAGTAAGAATAAATGGATTATATTATAATTTTAAGTCGTATACTTAGTCTTTAATGTATTTCAATGGTAACATTATTTTCATGTTTTCTCAATACTGTAGAAGAAAAACAGAAAACACATAATTCTATAAAATATGATATGCTCTTAGTTTTAAAAAAGCAGTTCAGAACGTTTTTGTCTTTTAGGCTATATGTAAAATGACGGGCAAAGTACCACAAGAATTTAAATCACCAGAGGACATGGCAGAGAAAATCTTCAATATGCTGGATAAAAACTCAGACAGTGCTATAAGTCAACAAGAGTTCATAGAGGGAGCAGATAAGGTACAGATCCTTGTGGATCTTCTAAGTTGTGATCCTGACTCATGAAGAATTTTTGGGCGAAAATATCTTGACCTTTACTAAATGATGTGCTTGATAAAGTAATTTAATGTAATCAGTGTTTACATAACACAATAAAACATATACTAGTACATAGTATTTATACATTTCCACACAATAAAACATATACATAGTATTTATACATTACCACATAATTAAACACTTACAAGAAAGAAAACAATAATCAAAACAAATGATCAGTGCATATTATGTAAGAAACTGTATGTATTGCAAGTTGGCTATACAAGTGTGCTAGCTTTGTTTTCTTTGATACAGTTACTTCCGACTTCGATGTCATCTTGTCATATTTATTGAACTGCTTTCCTTTCATTCATGGCTTTTTGATATTGCAGTTTACGTTCATGTGGATAATTGTTTCTGCGTCTCAGCAGACTTGCAAATGATTGATGAATAATTATAACATTGCTTTTTTGATACCGTCAGATTCTAGTTAGATGCGTGTCTTTCCTTAAAGATTTTAAATGCACAAATTGTGTAACTTCTACAATTTTACAACGTCTCAAATGAATGAAAGGTATGGCGATAAAGCATTTAAGGAAGTTAGGTAATGCACGTAAAAGAATTGAACATTGTTTTAGCCTCTATTTAAGTGGTTGTCTAATTTACATTTATGATTTATAGAAGCTCCTTCTGGGGAAAAGGCAAAGACACTAATATCTGAAAGTCTGTAGATTCCGTATAACGTCTGGACTTGCACTGTTTGCATAACAAAGTCATTTAATGGCGTCAAATATATTTTGATATTCATACCAGTCTTCTTATTTTTATAATGCTAGTTCCTAACTAGATACATGCCCGATGAAAAAGACGCACTATCGCTGCCAATGATTGAAATAGTGGGACAAAATTTCTTAGAAACGAGTATTCTCATTTACACCTGTTTGCTCAGTATCAAAATTCGCAGTATTACCCGTTACACATTCCTCGTTTATGGCACATGACCGTCGTACTTCCATATTGGATGGTGTCGTATTTTCTGACAATGGTGCGTTACTATGCAAAATCAATTTGATCGTTCTTTTATTTAATACAAAACTTATGAAGATAAATAAACCCTGGAAACAGTTGAGAACACTGATTACATACGAAAACATAGAAAAGTCCAAAAAGGCATCTAAAATCTGAAAACCCCATAAGCCACCACTAATTGCAAATAATTTAAAGAATATGAACACATTGTTTCTTTCTTGATTTGACGATGATACTTTCTTGGTAGACATGATTCGGTACATTGTTAATGCAAGAAATAATGAGTCAAGAAACATTGTAAGGAGGATAGGGAATATGAATGCACTCCATCTTAAATACTCGTGAGAAATAAAGCACATTTGCCCCCCGTATCCCATATCGTCATAGGTTAACAAGGAAATCACTATGGTAAGTCCTACTATTCCAACGGGAACACTGTAGATAAAGATGGTATACTTAATAAATGTCAGAAGTGGAAATGTTTGTCTACATTGCATTGTATTGAATACTCTTAACATATGAAAGCAGGTAACGATGAAAGAAAACAGCATAGCAAGCCAAAACAGGTGCTGCAATACGCCAATTACTTTGCATAATGATTGATTCTCTATCATGTTATTGCCCATTATAAAGATAAACTGAGCCACGAATAAGTTGAATACAAGTGCCATCAAGTTTTTTCCTGGTAAAGTTCGAAGTATGGCAAACTTACAGTATGTCAGAAAAGTTAAAAACAGACACACCAAAGATGCCAAACTACAAATAAGAGTAAGCATGCGCAAGGTTTTATCCACGGGTTGGTTAACAGAGGACACATTGAAAGAGTATCCGAGGAGACGATCGAGACAGAAGCTTACAGAATTGCCTCTTCGTATCAAATACATCCCCGGGTAAAGTGTAATTGAGGGTGAACGAATGTTTAGTATACCATTTTGTTCATCAACGATACACTCTTTCATTGGAAATTCAACATGACGACATGTGAGTAGGTCTGTTATATAGGTAATTGGTGTGTGAAAGGAAAGTCGATTGCTCTCTCGTTCATATCTGCAAAAAGACATGTTTGTTAATGCTACAAACTTATGTGTAGAGTATTCTAGGAAATCCAGAGGAACGTTATCTAGACACTTTTTGATTTGTCCACAAAAAGTAAATTCAGTCTTATTTTGAATTTTGTTATAAATCTCTATTAGTTCGTTTTCTAATCGACCTTTGGATGTGTAAATTATGTCAAGAGGTGAAATAGTAATTTTAGTGAAAACCGTGAAGTTGACGATAATATTTGAAGTATTACTGTACACGTCCTTACAGGCAACGTCTGAGTACATTCGTATTTCTCTTATAAAATATCTTTCATTTCTCAAGAATACCGCCATCTCGTTCCTGAAAAATATTTTTAATGTGGATAGAAGTTTAGATCCGTAGTTGTTTTTCTTGACGATTCTGCCTACTGTTTTTACCATCAATACATATTCTCCAACTTTCTCCGTCATATCCCGTACCTTACATTCATCAGGTGTTAACATGCGCCCAGGAAAACAAGTAATGGATCGATACATATGCTGAAAATACAAGAAAAGCCATGAATGCGGGAGCGATTGAAATCGTGGCTACGATAAATGATATATTTGTCGTGTTACTCCGATATTTTATCAGCGTTTGTGACCTTGAAACGTATGAAGAAATTACTTCAACTTACTATTGCAAAAACCTTATGAAGCTTTTTTGTTACAGCAAACATTTATCTACAAAATGCATAACTTTATATCTTCTAAACGATAAATGCAAGTTCTTCACAAGTATTGAAACCTAAGCATGGAAATTTTACAATGTGAAACAGGAAACATTTGTTCGTCGTAAAGTTTATTAGTCAACAGATTTTGTAGGTTTGTCAGATTGAACCTGACCTAACTGCATCCGTCGTTTCTTTTAAGTTCAATGAAATAAATACGATCAAAACAGTAAGAAAACCGATACATTTTGAAGTATTCACTGAATACAAATACTTACTTATAATAGTTAATTATATGTTAATAGAGGTTACTGATTTTCATTAACACAGAGTGATTTGAAGTATTTCTTTTTAGAACTAATTTTAGCCTTAAACGTCATTTTTTATTTATTAATCACTGGGAAAATATACAACTACACTCTCAAACTTACTCACAACACAGGGCAAGTTTGTGAGTGAATTGGCCTATTTTACACATTGATAAATTAGAAAACAAATAGCCTTTTATTTGTTATGTTTTTGCATTGTACTGTGGATTTTGATATCTGACATTCTCTCTATTGTTAGTGATTCGGTATTTACCAATCTTGTCTTTAAAAACTGGCTTTATATTGGCTTTATGTTATCATTCTGAATCTTACAGTATAATAATCAACCTAAAAGGATTTTACTTACATTTATCTTATCAAACATTAGCGTGTAATTAAGAACGACGTGTGATTCTTCTTGATCTATGTTTGGTTCTTCAACCGGAATTCCAAATACTTGTCGTAAAGATGGGGGATCCACGATACCAATTGAACCCGGTTCACTTAGACAGTCTGACAATGGTGGAATCGGTTCACCGAAATTACAATGAGGAAAACATTCCTGATTACAAAGTTTACAAAAGGAGTTCTTGTACGGAAATATGATGTCTGACTGTGACATTGGTAAATTATAACACGCGCTTGCAAGTGATGTATTACTATAAGTATCACTACATGTTTGTATTGTGTCATTCGAAGATTTCATTCTGCCATAGTTATCGCAAAGGAAACAAATCTCATTTTTATAGTCACCATATGGATAAAGATTTTCATACGATAATCTATGACATACTTCAAATAAATCTAAGGGTACGTCAGATGATAAATCACAAACTTGGTGGTAATAAGACTGTACGCATCCTCTTGGAATATGGTCTTTTGTTTCGAAAGTAAATTTACACTTCGAATTTCGTGCATGTGTCAATATATCATCGAACGTGACACTATACAACATGGGAACAGTTTCAGCACATGTAATAAACGTACTTCTGATGTGATAGTCGGATGAAACAACAAGTGTATCATTTAAAACTTGATAATCACTGTTACAAATATAACAGAAAATGTTCTTGTAGTCTATCCCATTAAAGACTACTGGAAGAGATCCGTAAACGGTATTTGATTCACAGAGGAAGTTAATGGTAGAAAAATACGGTTTGCCAATGTTTTTATCACCATAACATCCATTTGTTACTACAAATAATGAATTGAAGCACTCTAACGGATATGATATTGCAACATCAACACAACAGGTGCACTTGTTTGTAAAAAGACAGTTCGGATCACAGTCGCAGTTCTGTGCGGTTAAGTTACGAAAATTACGAGGAAGATTATTCTTATTGCAAATATTTGTTGGAGATGATAAAACTTTTGTCAGTAGCAGAGACGACAGATTGTAATGAACACCATTCAAAACGATTGAAGTTTTGTCATAGAAAGAAGGTAAATCTGTAGAAACGTCAGCGTTTTGTTTTACAACATGATCTAAATTGTTCAGCCTAATATTTGTGTAAATGTAAACGACGGACTTTTTTAAAAGAAACTCGTTTTCTGTTGCAGAAAATGGTTTGTAAAGGAAGTCATCTTTCACTATCAAGTTACAGAGGTAGCAAAATACATTTTTGTAAGGAAAAGTTATAAATGACAGTTCTTGTTTGTTGCACAAAGTGAACAGATCGTTCCCATACATTGTATTCAAAATGTTTAAATTGCATGAAGATATGAGCGGAACGTGTTGTCTAGGTGGATTACACATAAAACAAAATATATTACTGTACAAGCGAAAAGATGGACCGTAGCCTGAGCGGCAAGCATGGTATATGTCAACGTTATAAGCTGTCCAAGTTCCTGTTATATTGCAATCGTTATATAGGATTTGATCTTCACTAGAACATTGCGGAACCATATTGTAAGACTTAGGTATATACCAGGCATCACAAAACGTATGAAATCTAGGGTCGGCTAATTCAGAAAAGGAAAACGAAGACTCAATGTTATACACTTCCGGTTCACAACTGCTGTTGCTGATGTATATATCCCATTTTTCTAAATCTGCCGGGTCTTCTGCATGACATAAGGCACAAAAAATGTTCTTATAAGACAGTTGTGTTCGATTGGAATTTACCGGTGTATGCCTGTATTGATATGTGGATGCAGTAAAAGGATTATTTGGGTCATAACATGACAGTGTATCTTCATACAAAGCATTTGCAGGGCAGCTGCTAATTAAAGGATACTTGACCAGATTAGTTTCATATAGACTGTTAATTGAGGTAGATTCACATGCTGTCCATGGTCGAGTAAACAGTTTATCAGGACAACAATCATTTCTAGAAAAGCAGCCATTATCACATGCACAAGATGGACAAGGCCCTAGGCTCCTGGGCACATACAAACCAGTTGCATTTTCCAAACTATTGTTGCAAAGATATCCAAATCCACAGGCCGTCACATATTGCTTAAAGAAATTATCGGGATTTATCATCTCTCCACTGCATTGATTAAAACGATATGATTCATGATTTATTCCAAATAAGTAAATAACAGCGAAAAGTATTTTGTAGTTCATCTAACAAAAAACAAAAAAAAATTTTAATCAATATGTATAAAATGAAAATTTTATTAACATTTTCTGTAGTTTGTGCATTGAAATAGTAATTGTTTTCTGTTACGACATCATTTTGTTCCATTGCCTTGTAGGTGTAACATCACTAATTCGGGCCTGGAAAGAATATAGTACATATTTTCAACAAAATAGTTCTTGCGCATGGGTGTAACTTTCAAAATATGTAGAACATTTTGGTAAATGTGGTATCAAATAAAAGCTAAATGGGCTATGTCACAGATTTTAGTAAAATTTTGCATATAGCTCTGGCTCGGTGAACTATAACTGAAAATCGAAAAAATAATGCATTTATCTCTTTTATCATCTGAAATATTACTGATTGAAATCTTTCAAAATGGGTGAACATTTGTATAGAAAGCAATTACGATCGGCGAAAAACTTTCTTAAATTTGTTTTAAAATCATCAAATCTCTAATTTCATATACATGAATTTTTCTTAAAAAACTATATGTTGTTGATACATTAATTTCCGTTTTATATAGTTTTTTAAGAAAAATCTATGTATTAGAAATTAGAGATTTGATGATTTTAAGACAAATTTAAGAAGGTTTTTCACGATTATATGTGCTTCCTATAAAAATGTTCACCAATTTTGAAAGATTTCAATCAGTAATATTTCAGATGATAAAAGAGATAAATGCGTTATTTTTTTTCGATTTTCAGTTATAGTTCAACCAGCCAAGGTTGTATGCAAAATTTAGCAAAATCTGTGACATAGCCCATTTACAGTTTCTTTACCTTTTAAGTTCCGGGAACTAGTACGCTCTTATATGCAATTAAAGGTATGTTGATTTTTTTTTCAGCACAATGAAAGCTAAGATATTGCTTTGACATGCAATTGCTGTCACTTTATTTGAACTTAAGAAAATGAGCTATGAACGTTTGAAATTGAAGATTTAAGCATAGAAAGCAAAGGGGCCAAGAATAGAATTAGTGGTGACCCTCCTTGTAAAAGCACTGGTCTCTGAAAACACCAATGTCGCAACAGGACGAAGATTAAGAATATCATAAAACACCCGATTTATAAAATTCAGAGTTCGTGCATCAGAATTTGTTGTTAAAAAAAATGAAAAAGATACATTTCAAATTTCGATTGTATGTTAAACAATATCAAATTTTTTTTTTCATCACAGATAAAGATTGAAATGCCACCACTGGTAAAACTATAAAATTCCTCAAAAAAGAGCAGTATTTTAAAATAAATGATTAAGAAATACCGCTTAAAATTTGTGAATGAAACTCCTTCGTCCGTATAGTTTTAAACCATACATTAATCAGTATTTAAAATCAATCATGACCAAACTCAAACTTGATCTGTTACTTATCATATAATGACAAAAAAACATAAAGTCCTGGGAATATCTCCATTTTTTACACACACAAAAAAAAAGAAAGAAAAAAGAGTGAATTATATAAGTTGTTTATATACAATAAAGCAGGACAACACCTCTATACAACGCAAAAAGGCGGTAATCTGTCCGATGTCATATAGAATCTATACCAAATTACGATTCAAGGTCAATGATTAAGGAAAATATGCGGGAAAACGGTTTACCTTTTTTTTTTTAAATTGAAAGGATTTAGTCTGTACAAAAGTATCAACTACGATGAAACTTAAACTGTATCTGTAATATTATAAGATGGAAATATACCAAATTTCGAAGAATATCTCTTTACATTACAAACAATTGATTTAACCAAACCAAGACTTCTGAGGTCGGTAAAAACTTCCGTTTACAAACTTTTGAATCGATCCCTGCTGACAAAATACTACCAAATGTTATACCCGTCTATAGAAATAAGGGTGGCCTAGAAATATTACTGAATTACATATTGTCAAATATCTTTGCTATCAAATATTGCGAAGACAATGAAGAGGTGCATTTTCGAATACCTTTTTAAATTCATTATCACAAATTCTTTATTAACAAAATTCCAGTCTTGTTTTATCCCTGGTGATTCGGCGTTAAACCAACGAAATTGGTAAAGCATTGGATACAGGAATAGAGGTAAGGGTAATATTTTGCCACATAAGTCGATCATTTGACCGAGTTTGGAACAGAGGCTTATACAGACACTAAAGATCACTAAAGTTAGACTTTCAGATTAGACATTAACTTTCTTGTATTCTCAGAAGTTCTCTGCAGTTGTTGGATTGACACTTTTATTTACGTTAACTACATCATACTAGATTGTGACTTATTGGACATAATATTCTGTTTGGATTCCGGCAACAGTGAAGAGAAGAATTCCGGATAAAGAAAAGACAAAAGGATCGGACATATATTTTAACAGTTAAGTTGACATTTCAATTTGTATAATATTTCTTGTAAAATTGTGTATAATATTTCTTGTAAAATTGTGTATAATATTTCTTGTAAAATTGTGTATAATAAATCTTGTTAAATTTTGTTATTGATTTGTGTCTTTTGTTGGCTACAATTTAAAGGTGATTTTTTACCGTAACAAATGGGAATTGATGGAGTATTGTTACTTTGGTCTGAGTGCTTCTTGAACCCAAGAAGACAGCAAGTTGACATTGGTGGAGAACCGCCCAACACTGAGCATGTATCAAATGGGCTATATCAAGGGTTTATCTTGAGTCCCATTCTATTTCTAATATATTATATAAATGACTCAGACATATTTAATGATATAGAATGTGATATTAAACCTTTTTGCTGACGGCACATCAATTTATATAGTGGTTGATAACGAATATGAAGCGGCAGAAAGATTAACTAAAGATATTTAGGAGATATATATTTGGTCTAATCAATTGATTGTTAATTTCAACCCAAATCAAACATAAATAATGACAATCTCAATAGAAGCGCTACAAACCTCATTACCCACCAAATTATATGAATGATAATATTATCAGAGAAGTAGAGTCGCGTGAATATTTAGGGGTTATTTTAAATGAACACGGGGCTGGAATAATCATGTAAATTATTACTGATAAGGCTCTTTCCCGATAAGCCTTATTCCGAAAGCTAAAATTTAAATTAATATTAAAAATTTTACTTATCTTTTATACGCCCATTCTTAGTGTCAGGGACAATATTTCTGATAAAAAAAAAACCATCTTTCGAAAACTTGCAACGAGAAGCAGCAAGAATCGTCACATGTGGTACCAAGATAACACCAAGACAAAAACATTGTCATTAAATTCTCCCTCGCCCTGCTCGTCCGAATCAAAAATAATTCTACTCTAAATTCAATTATCTATAAACAATACAATCACAGAAATAGGATTAGGTGCTCGCAGTAACATATTATTTTTTCTTGAGACACAAAACTTTTTATCATAAATAATTGTAGTGTTTTACCATTCAAAACCATGTAAATACATGAAATAAACGTAACAGCAACTGTATATATATATACTAATGTGACTAACTTCGATTCGACGTAACTGCGAGCACCTTCGATACTAATACATTTAAATGCCAAACTTTATATTGTACCATAAAACCCCACCCGTAGAAACCGCCAAAACTTTTCTCGTGCCTTATGCACCTAACATCAAACTTTATAAATAGTAGTACTAGTACTGTTGCAGAACTAGTTATACCAGTTCCCATCTATATATAAGTCCTACTAATAGCAAACGGGAAAACCCCATTTTCAAACGAAATGAAATATATTTAAACAGCAATTACTCCAACAAGGAGTCGACTGACGATTTCGGCCATTTAACTTATTTGCAGTTTTGTTGCTGATCTTTTCTTTTTAAAGTGTTTCACTATCTATCTAGTTTTCAAAATATTTGACAAAAACACGAACAATGGGTACAAATCGTGAATTAAGAGCAATTACTTTAAAAAGGAGTCGTCGGACAATTTCAGCCATGTTAACTCATTTGTAGATCTAGTCTTTCTGGTCAAGTTTTGTTAAATTTGGCCCAGTAGTTTCAGAGGAGATGATTTTTGTATAGGTTAACGGACGACGGACGCCAAGTGTAATTTAACAGTAGAAAATGAACAAACTACGTTATGGTATAAATTAACCCCTCCCCGTATTTTATATAACCAATACAAAAAAAATAACACAGATAACAGTCTCGAAAAAAATTATTCTGCAACATGAATCTAGAAAAAAAAGACAATGAACCTAGAAAGAGTAAGCAGTGCATGTTTTACCTGCGAGATATATCCCTTTATTCATTCAAAATCCAACGATAAGTCAAAACAGGAGATAATTGAGCAGCATACATTAGCTGATTGGAAAATTATCTCGTCTAGCCCCAAGACATTGCATCATATTTATAAAACGTCAGTACAGTGGCGGATCCAGAGGGGGGGGGGGGGGGTCCGGGGGTTGGATCCCCCTTTTTTTTGACGATCAATGATTTTGAATGGGGACATATGGTTGGAACCCCCCTTTTAAAAATGGCTTGATCCGCCCCTGCAGTATACACTTGTACACTACAGTGTTCTAACCCTTATAATATACATGTGTATACTACACACGCAAAACAAAAGCAAGACAAACTTCAATGTCCAATACTTTCGGATTAATCTAAATAAAAACGGTCCGCGAACATTATTTTTCACACGAACTTTTATATGCAAATTTACTAAAAAGAATGAGACTTGAAGGCATATGATTTTTATTTGATCTCTTGATAAATACATGTAAAAAGTTTTAAAAAAGGCATAACCGCAAGGGATTGAAATTATTATTTTGGTCAAATTTTAGGGAAATATATTAATTACGTCTTCGCACCCCTTTTTCCAATGGTTTATAGCAAATGAATATATTGTTGCCATGGATACAAAAAAAAATTTCACCATTTAAACTACTGGAAATCAAATCTATGGAAGATACCGATTACATGCATATGCACATAAATGACACAAAAAGTAAGCATAATTTGTAAGGAAGCAAAAGAAGAGGATGGTAAGTTTATGATG